CACACACTGCTAAAGTGAGAAATAATAGGTTACCAAGCTTATGATGAAGTTAATATGAAGTTTTTATCAGTACAAAAAAAAAACGATCAATGACATAATCAAGAGTATTAGATATTAGACAATTTAAAACTGCAAATTCAATTCAGATTGGTACAGTTACAATTCGCAACAGCAGTTATCATAAGACTTAAATAAATTAAGGTCAAACAATCTCTTATTACATCACATTGAAAATAGTATTCTTCTTTTTTTTCCTCTGGGGCCTTATTGTATTTCTCTGAAAAATTAGTAGAATTTGTTTTCTTCATGTTACATACTGATTTGCTACACCCTGTTTGTGGCAATTAGATAAGATAGTGAAATTACGAAAGTTTGCGGTAAGCTAAAGAAAATGTGCAGTGAGAACCTTCTTTTTGCTAGCTTGTTATCTGGCAAGACTAGCCTGTTGTCTGTCGGGATTTGTGTCAGCCCATGTCATTGGCTTGTTATGAGTTGCTTTTCATTCATTCAACTGCATTTTATTATGTAGCAAATCTTATTGAGCTTGGCCAATACAAGCCATGCCAGTCACATGTGGTTTATTTTCATTTATGGTAATGTTCTTTTTTCTCAATCAATAATCCTATACATTCATCCTGCATCCTGATCGGCAGGTTATGGTCCTCTTCATACTATGCCTACTGCTCCACCGTCAGCGGTACCACCTGGTGCTGCTGCATCAGCACCGATGCAAGTTAGTAATCTTCCTAGGCCTCCTCAATTGACACCTCCAATTTCCGGGGCCATGTCAATGCCAACCACCAATGGTGCTGCACCTGCCATCAATCCTGTGATGTATCAAGCCAATCCATCGTCAACTACAACTGGAAGCTTTGATTCATTCAATGCGGCTTCTGGATCTGGTTGACAGAGGGCATCACATGTATCCACCGCTCCTGTTTCAGCAAAATGCCTTACTAGGATGCATTTTGATCTGCCCCGACTAAGACTAATCTGCTAAATTTGGGTACAAGTTTTCACTGTGTTTTTACATGTATGAATGAATTACTATTTTGTCGATTGCTTCTCGCTTATATTCGTGTTGAATCAGTTCACAAACACGATATGTGCAGACTGAATGGATTGCTATTCTAGAGCTCCGTGGGTCATCGTGAGATGGTTAAAGGTAGAGAGAGTCCACTTGTCTGTATTATTTCTGGAGTTGTGTAATCAAATATCTATCTGGACACACTCCGATCAGTAATAGTTTGCATCGGCATTTCTGACACTTGGAACCTTAAACGAAACTTACTACTTTTTAGTATGATCTTTATACATGTCGAAGAACTTTTTCTTCTATGCTCGTTTGGTCAACAACGAAATCTTGTTTTTCTGAAATCTTTTTCCTGTAATTAAACGTTAATTTCCGTGGGTACTTGACAAACACTTCTCTTCTACATCTCATACGGATGGATTTATGTGTTGTTTGCTTTAGCATGCAGGAGGAGGTATCCATGTTTCCACGATGATACCATAGCATCACGAGATTATGCCTCTTCCCTCATTTGAGTCTCCCCTTCTTGTGCAATCTTATTTCTGTCTATTTAAATGAAACTTCACCCGAAGGACAGTTTTCTAATCCTCCATTATAACATTAATGCATCATTATAGTAAGTCATTTTATCCATGATGGATGAGGTCATTATTCTTGGGATGGAATTCCATATTTATAGCTTACCTTTGCAACCAAAAAAAAAAAAGGGGAAATCATATTTCATATATTTATCTCTCTGCAAACAATAAAACATGCGAAACTAAAATATAAAAGATAAAATAATCATGACTTGCATATAAATTCTAAAGCCATGAGAGCATAAATGTCCATATAGATAATACCTCTTCTACCTACACAAAGAACATATAGACGGAAAAGATTACTACCATTATCTTAATAGTCATCAGTCATTCTCAGTGTCTTCGTTTATTCGGAACGCAACCCTCCGAACCAGCCAAAGAGACACGAAGGAACGGTGTGCTCGATCGACATGGATGCCTCTCACTGTTCGCATCTACTTGTGTTGCTCCAAGAAAACCCTCCTCCCCCTTCCTTCTCTTCCATGGAAATCGACCTGTACTTCTTCCAATCCTGTATCAGACTCCTCAGGCCACGCACCTTCTCCTCTGCGCTCCCACAACAGTTGGCCTGCACCGTGCAGACCTTGCTCGGCTCTCCCCTGGGCTGGCAAAACCCTCCGAAGTTTGCGGTGTCGAGAAACTGGAATCTCAAGTTGAATGGAACGACACCATCGGTCAATCCCTTGGATAGAATGGATTGCCGGTCTGCGGTAGGATACTGCTTGCACAGCAGCTTCCAGTACTTGTACAACTCAACGTTGTTGCTGCAAGCCTTCACGTACATGAGGCCTCCGTTGGGCACGTTTTGCAGGCTTTTTGCATCTCCTTCGAAGAGATCAGTAGCAAAACCTAAGTAGGTACCCGACTCGAGGTGATGCCACGGAATCCGAAACCACATCACATCCAAATCCTGCCATGAAGAGAGAGTAGATCACATCAGTCGTATCAAAACAACAAGGCCTCCTTCGCCATGCAAATCGATCTTCCCTCCCACCGTGTATATGAAACTGTATCCGAGTTCTACGAGCGTTTGCTGGAACTCGAGCTGCCTCATCATCACATGACCATCGTCAGCTGCCGAGCGGCTGTTGCCTTCTGCGCCGAGAAGATGACAGTGCATGTGGGAAGACCTGCAGTGCTCCAAAGCCTTTTGATCTGTTGCTAAGACCAGCAAATGTCTTATCAGCACGTCTGTTCGCTCGCCGACTCGGAAGCTCTCGATGAAGAGATCGAAAAGGGATCGGGAGGCTGCATCGAGCGTAGCAATTATGAGAATATTGTCATCTCTTGCGATTCTTCGGAGTGACTTCTTCAGAACTCGTAGTTTCGTTTTTTGCTGCAGAAGAACACATGATGAGTTATTTATCGTCTCCAAGCTTGCCATTACTGACCATTTCTTCAAGAATAATGACATCATTGATGAGACAATTAGGAAGGCGTTATAAACATACATAACATCGAACTATATTGACAAGATGATATTTATTTTAGGTTTTGTAGAACGCTCAAAATGTTTCTTTTTGATGTATGGTTGAGAAAAAGGTTTATCAGTGCCATTGCCATCATTATTATCATTACAATCATAGTTTTCCAAGATCATCATCATCACTATCACCACCACAAATTGATCTATCAAATTAAACTTGTATAACATATTTTTCTTTTCTCTTCAGAAATTAGAATGAAACATGAAATTGTTTTCTAAATTTCTTTTTCTAGACATACTTAGTTGGAGATAGTATATATATATATATATATATATATATATATATATATAAAATGTGTTGGACATGATTTGTTTGTAGTACCAACACATAATTTGGGAAGATAAAGGAAAATTTGACATCCTCTAGTAAACTTATGCCCTCTTCTTTTGCTAATCTACTAATCAATCACACTTTAGATGGAGCAAAAGATTGATCTTTCACATCAAAAGAAAAAAAAAAATTCCATAAACTAAAGAAGAGAACATCTAACACAATCATTTAAGCCAACATAATATGAGACTAGATTAAAGAAAATTATTAGGAAAATAGAGCAAAATAAAGCCATCAAACTAATGAAATTAAAACAAGATAAAAAAGCCTTGGCCAAGGCCATAGCAAAGAAAGAATGGACCTCTGAACTCTCCATTGGCGCCATCTTCTTCCCTAATCTCCATTTCCTCTCTAGTGTTACCACTTGATTTGTGGATAGGTGTGAAACTATACAAGTGAGAATTATGACTATAACAAGAACAAAGAGAATGACAAACTTCAACTCAGACAATCTTCTCATCTTTGATGGCAGAAGAATCGCATGTGTGACGGGAAGGGGGTAGAGAGAGAAAGGAGGAAGAAAGAGGTGTAGGGGAGAAGACAGATTCAATAGGATTCATGAATCCGAGATGGTAACAACATGAATCAAAGGCAGTCGAAAAGGTAACATATCCTCAATAAATATGGTAAAGAGTTACTTGACTTATTTGTGAAGGCGTTTATTCATATCCATCCTTGCAATGTTTCGTGATGGTGTATTTGCCCTCATAAATCTTAAGACATCATATTTGATCCTCGATCTCTCACACATACTCCTCCTTTTGGTGTTCATAGAAATAAATTTTGGTTGATAAGATTAGCAAGTTTGAGTTCAGGAAATATATGAAGATACAGAAATTTCTCTAATGTTTTTATCATAGTAAATGAATGTTTAAAGTGTATTAATGTTAAATGAAAATTCATCTATTACTCAAATGACATAAATTTTAGAAAATTATGTATCTTAAACATCGGTTTTCTAGCGATATATGTGTGCACAATTCTACCTATTTGTGAAGAGATTAAATTTATTCCATGTCACAACATTTTAGTTTTATGTGAAATATATCATAAAAAAAGTTCATATGGATCATTTTCAAATGGTTTGATAAATTGATTTCCCAATAAAAGTAATTGTTGTAATGTAAATATAGTTAGCTGTTCCTTGTAAGAAAGGTTTGATAATGTTCATACCACAATTGGGCGGTCAACTTTGCAAGATCCAGTAGATCATCGAGAGAAATTTTTTGTCAATCAGAGATTCATACATTGCTCTCCTCTAATTTTTGTTGGGAAGAATGTAATTTGTGGTATTGGGTAATGGTTAATTTTGCTTTTGGGAGAAAAAAACACAAGTATGGATCCTAGATTTACAGCCAATGATGTGCATAAAGCTAATACCCAACATGAATCCAGCTATAAATGCCAGGAAGGGATCATTTTTATATCTATATGACTCTTTTGATCCGATCCAGATCCATAAGCTTCAGTCACAATGCATGGTCCCTTCAGAATTCTGCCTCCATTACTCTGCTCGGCTTTATAAGATGCTTAGCACAAGAAACAACACAAGACTGTCAAGAGTAAGCATTACATTGGTATGGATCACTCTATTAGGTGATGCATTCATCAAATTGTAGAAGGCTGATTTCCCCAACGCATACCACACAATCTTACAGTATGAGTATCTTTGCTCAGGGTATTAATGCGAAGAAAATAATTTATAAATTGTAATTTTTTATGTTGAGTAGTAGGTTGTTAAATATATTCTCGTCTGCACTTAAATCATATAATGAGACACAAATCGATAGCCGATGATGTTCTGTCAGTTGTCAGTGCCGAAATATCGATCGCCAAACTCGCCCAACCCTGGAATAACTCGAAAATCCTCGTTCAGTGCCACATCGATCTCCGAGGTGACTATCTTCACTGAAGGGAACCTTTTACAAACACAATGAATCCCCTCAGGTGCCTGCACCCGAAAGAGCAAACAGAATTTGATCAGAATAATTGCAACCCGTCCAATGACTACGAAAAACAACAGGAAGCTCACCGAGATGAGGTTGAGGAAAATTATCCAGCTCTCAGGAACTCCTTTCTGTATGAGGAGCTCTATTGCTTGGTTAGCTGAGTTACCTAAGCAAATCAAGGGTATGACTCATCAATGTGCATGTTGACAGAAAGGAGCAGTGTGAACAAAAGATGAAACAGTACATATTATAGAAAGAACAGTTAGACACAATCTAAATTTGCACATATTTCTCACAAAAGAAAAACCTCAAGAATGAGCAAAGATGATAGAATTCAAGCTTCCAAATAACTTGAAGTTTGATCTAAGCAAATGCCATTTTCTGCTATTCACAGTTAATGGAGAACTAGATATAACAAGTTATCAGACTTTTGCCAACAAAGTTAGCCAGGTGAAACAGTCGAGCTTTGTTCTAAAACCTAATCAAATAAGCAATGGGCGTTAGAATACAGAAGGATTTGTCAATTCATAAGTCAAATATTAGAAGTTTGTGTTTAACATTTGCCGATGTGCAAAAATGAACAGTAATAGAATCCACAATACTGACCTGTACCAAGAACAGGATCTAAAAGTAGAACATGCCGTTCAGAGATATCCTTAGGCAGCTTCTCATATATGAGCTGAGTGGGACACACCATATAAGATACAGAGGCAATGAGAAATTATCCAGTGTTAAAAGAAATATATATTTTACTTCAAGCATTAACAAAAGGTGTTCATTGTACTTGAGCATTGAGTAACAGAACAAATTTGTGAATACCAACCTGTTTACCATTGTCTCCATCACGATGGATGAGAATTTTACCAATCTTTATTCCCTTACAACATGCCCGCAGGGCGTTTTCCATGCTTTCGCCACTATGGCAAATTAAACAAGTCTTAGCATTATACATACAGAAAAGGAGTTCATTCTAGACATGTTTTTGTTAAAATTACACCTCCCACTGTCATCTTTACTTTTGAGTTTCAGTCAATGAGGAAGTATAATATTAGTTACCAATGAAATTGAGGAAACACGTAAGAGACATGAATCCGAGTGTTGTGAGAATCAGGCATAGCGCCAGTGATGGCACAAAATGAGATGGAAGTGTGCTTAGAGAATGAATAAAGTGAATGCCAAACAGTAAAAAGATCAGAAGCCATAACAACTATGAAACCAGTTAATAAAGATTGGCGTCTTGGAGACTGAAAAAAATATAAAAACAACAACATAGTATTTTTCTAAAGGTCATTTATTGTAACTCCACATGATTTGACCTTATATTTCAGGACCAATATTATTAAGAAATCAACGCAATACCTGAATCAAGTCTCACCTTCGGACAATAGACACTCCACAGAGTTTCTTACAAAAGTCAACTCCCATGTATACAGATCCTGACCAAAATAAGAACACAATTATAAATTTACAGCACATTTTTTGTTCACATAGAGTACAAATATATATTGACTGCTGTATCTTTTATAGTTTTCTTATTTATAGGGTTTCCTATTTGTAAAACTGCATAGATACACACACACACATATACATACATATATTTTATAAAGGCTTTAACATGTGAGATTATTCGTTTACTTGCAGGAGTAACATATATATATATATGTGTGTGTGCGTGTGTGTGTATGTGTGTGTGTGTACATGTATATATATATATATATATATATATATATATATAAATACACACACATATATATACATATATATATGTATGTATATAGATACACATATTATATAAAGATAAAAAATACCTGTAGGGGTGACCACTTGCTTCTCAGTAAATGGCAAATGACCAAGACCATGCTCCACAACCTGGTATATTACTATTTTGTGTTACAAAGATCGTTTAATAATAACTATTATGAAAGCAAACCTAAGTTCATAGCAGTAATTGTATCAATTTGGATCCATAAATTGGAAAAGAAAATTGTAGAGATTACCAGCCGTATAAGACGATCTGAATAGAATACAAAGTCAGGTGTTGTTATGTCCCTATCACGAATAAGTGTATGCATTCCTCGTATCTGTTCAGATGATATTTGAAAGTTTTATGTTATGTGGTCAATCATCTTAAGCTTAACAGGACAAAAAGGAATTGAGAAGTCCCATTTGCTCAATATAACATACAATAGCAATTTAACTAAAGAAAGTCACCTGGAACGTTGACTGAATAACATACACATTATTATAGATTTTGCACAAGTCATGCAGACCAAGCTTTGTCCGTATATGCTGTACAATAAGATCTATTGCAACGTGGTTATCACCTCCACGTGGTATGATCACATCAGCATATTTCTTCGATGGAAGAACAAAATCATCAAAAGCAGGCTTCACAAACCTTCCATACTACAAACCAAAGTTGTTTTAGATAGACATGGTAAAACATTAGATACAATGAACATGTTTTAGATACCGTGAGTCCCTTTTATGAATAAAGAAAACCTTCAGGTGATGAAATTAAAGAAATATGTCTATGGGCAGCATATATCAGCAATACTAACAATTGCTTGAGTTGGTATTACTGCCGTGTTTTGATGGATGAAAAAAGAATATGAGCCTATTAACTTCAGTGCACCAACATCATTAGTGAAAGAAGTTCTTGATAGAAATTTTAATAAAATCACAACATTTTCTAAAATTGACTTGATCAAGGGAATTTTCTATGAGTAAGCATGAAAAACTTTCCATGGTTCCAAACATAACATAGATGCTATTGCCTACCAACATATGTGAATCATATGGAGCATCCCTATTTCTTCAAAAGATCTAAGGATTACCCATCCTTTCTCTACTCTAACCCTTGCCTTTCTAATTTATATGATAGTGAATGGTAGATACTGCAATGACAGTAGTAGATGCCAAATCCGATGGTTGCAACACAAAGCAAATCGTAAGATATTTTTCCTCACATAGTCATATGTTATACAAGGTTTATAGGATGCATCAATGTGTACAGAATCCAGTTAGGATATGATTAAACAGATTGGTGGTCGGCAGGTCACAAAAAAGAATAATCATACGGTAAGCACCCGTTGTTAGACAAGAGGCGTTTAGTTTTATAAACATTTTCTATGGGGGCATTGCATAGGTGTGTATCGACCTGAATAGTTTGCATCCGTTACTAAAAAATCTTGAAGGACTAAATCCACCACAGAATCTGATCAACTCATACTGGTAGGATTAACATATATACACACACATCCATATGCATATACATGTCTCAAAACTTTAAAATGTGTGTTTTAGAGTTTCTTTTCATATACTACCTTTGGGTCTTGATATAAGAGAATATGTAGAAATCGTGTTCCTTTTAGACACAGTATTTGCACATCATTACATATGCAGTTTTACAAGATAATGAATGCACATATCCTACCCAATTTCCAGATTAACAACAGAGAAGCCAAATAAATAGAATATGCATATCTACATGAAATAGTAGAAACCATATTATAGAGTAGCATACCTGCTCAAGCACTGAGCTGACATCTCTACCTCTCTCAACTGTATCACGCCTTATTCTTCGGGCAAGCCTTATATCAGCATCTAAAGGCACCATATGACAGAGAACAAGGGACTAATTATGTAGCAGAATAAGATAAAGATTGAAATGCTGCACATGTATGTCAAAGTTTTGTCTATTTTTACATGCTTTTGTACTCACTAGGGAATGATGCCTTTAATTCCTTGTTTAGATAATTTTTAAAGCACTAAAGCCATTCTTTGAATAGTTTTAAAGTACTAATTCCTTTAATTCCTTGTTTAGATAATATTAAAGCACTAAAGCCATTTTTTGAATAATTCTTTTGATATTTTGGATTAAGGGTGTAAGTTCGTGGTTGATTCTATGGTTTGTCTTTTATCTTCTTGCTTTATGTTTATATCCTATCTTTTACTTTCTGCTTTGATCCCTCACCATGAAGGTTCTCATTACCATAAAAACATCACAAGCACTGGCAATGAACTAGTTTGTACAAATTCATATACCTTCAATTGCAAGTAAATCTAATAAAAATAAAGTAATTAACTGAGCTTTGATGAGTATCCAAAAGTACAGCTCAGAAGTTTAAACAAATGAAAAGTTTCAGAGGGCAAAGAACTTAAACTGTACCAGAAGTTTTCACAAACCACTATCCAAGACCCTTGGAAATTCATAAGGATCTGATCATGACAACAACATAAATGAACTTCATGAAATCAACTAAAGAGGCTAATATAACCTACCAACATAAATTACCAAAAAAAAAATTCATGTAAAGATCTTAGAGAACAATTGCCAAAACTGTAAGTTGTGAGTTCCATGTCATTTCTCATTGACAATCCAGTATAGATTATAATAGAGCCTAAAATCAAACCTTCAAATATGATGCTTAAAGTGAACTGTCATCTTGCAAACGTATAAGAAAATGAAGACAAAATATAAACCTGTATCAACAAAAATCTTCATGTCCATCAAGTTACGGACTTGAGGATCATGAAAAACTAGGATGCCCTCCAAAATAATGACATCTGATGCATTTACCTACAAGATAATGTTTGAGTGGAAAGATGTCAGATTTCTCATATTAAGAAATTAAAGAACACTATATATTTAAATATAAAGGTAGCTATTTTAGCATTGTTCAGACTAGCATGTGATGATATCCTAAGGTTCAAGTCAAAGTCAGACAATAATTTTAAAATACACTTCTAGATACAATACTGTTTCAGGAAAAAGGAAAATCTTAGCCGTCTTGTTAGTATGGACCGATTTTTATCAGTCAGATGGCAGACCAACAATTTTGCCCAATCTGGTCCAAAACTGAGCTCACCGCCTGGTAATCTTACCTTATGAGACCATTAACTAACTGGAAATATGCAGTAACTGGTAGTGTGACTCTCTCTCTCTCTCTCTCTCTCGCTCGCTCGCTCGCTAGTGGTCCAACCAAAACTGATCCATACAAATTACAAACACTCATACTCTATATGTTTTGGTACCAGGCTGAAATTTTTTAATCCTTGGTACCACATTATATTTATAGCACATATTTTTAAAAAAAATCAACTAAACACATTGGATCATCGGGATGTTGGCCTTGAGCAATCCTAGCCCCCATTTGTTTAGGTTGAATGGTCCTAGTCACAGTTTGGCTAGGTTGAATCCAAATGTTCTATGCAATATTTAACCACACATTTTGGATACCGCTGACTCGAATAAAACTAACTGGAACAAGTTTAATATGACAGCCATAGGTAAAAAGGTGGAATAATCTACAAGTACTCCAATGTGAAACCATCAATTATTTTTCATCATGGAAGCTCATGAATCATCAAACGGCCATTATCATCAAAAGATGAGGATCAGCACGCCCATCGCTCTTCCTGGAAAGCATACCATCCAAAAATAAGGTGCCCATCTTAGGCATCAAATCATGTTTATTTCTTGATGAAAGCAAAAAAAATGGATTAAGGTTACCATAACTAGCAATATACTGCTCATAGGATCAGATTATGAGCAATCTGGCAGAGAATCAATTTAGAATGGCCATCCACCAATCCTGGCTAAACCATGACCATCTAATAGTTCCTTTCTCTGATCTTTTGTCAAGCTAAAGTGCTTGGTACCAAATATCTTGTTGGAAAGAAAGTAAAAGTAAACTGAAGCCATTATTTCATTTTGTTTTTTAAAAAATAATGCCATAGGTGTCTTTTGCAGCATGCTCATCAAGCAAACACAAATCTGATTTATATTCCATGGCTACAACTACTTCCACAATTTGGTCTTTTAACCTTCATCCTCCAAAAAAGGTAGCACGCAACATCAATAAACTCCCAGCACGACATCTCAACCAACATAGAAGTTCAAAACCCTTTTTTCCAAATAAACAGAAAATAGAATACCTAGATATAACTTTCAGAATTAATCATTAAATACCTTTCTGAAAGATTCAGAACAACGCCGATGATTCTTAAAATCATATATGGGAACATTGACAGAATGCCCACTCTTGAGCTTTCCCATGCACTCTAGAAGTTGTTCAGTATCAAAGGCATCTATCCAAAGAAACAAATAAATACTGTAAGAAACTATCACAACCAAATTACAAAAATAAAATAAGTAGCCAAATAGTGTCATTGCTCATTCTGCATGCAATTTGCAAGTAATGATAACACTGCACAATATGATTATCACCAGGATGATCAAAATTGTAGTCCTGGACATGCTTAGATTCTTCACCAGTTAGGCCACGGTAAAATGAATCCTACATTCAGCAAGTTTAAATTAATATGCAAAACATTTAACCAAAAAGGATTGCATTGTTTAGAATTTAAAATTTTAAATAGCTACACTGGTAGAACTGCAGTAATATATCTTTCACAATGGATAATATGAGGATCCACCATGCAAAAGAGGTAAATTAGATCTTCAAACCAACAAAATGCATTTAAATTCAGTGGAAAAGAGAAAGACGGATTCTTTCATGTTGAATTAAAGAAACAACATCAATTATTATAATCACTTAGTTTCTTTTTTTTAAAAATCGGCATTTAAATAAGTCATGGGGTTGCATATAGTATAACTGCATCTATTCATATGGACACCCCAGATATCTATCTAAAGCTAGAGAACTAGAAAACAGGAGCTACATATGGTGATAGTAGGGACAGTATTATGGCTCTCAAGATCAAGATAGGAAGAGCTCAAATGCCTACCAAACTAATACATAGGACGACTTCATCGTACATCAGCTTTTGAGTAAAAATTCAAGGTTTCAATGCATAAGCAGATGAGTTAAAATTAAGTTGCAGCGATTACCATCAGAAAGATGAGATTAACTCCTAGTTTTCTAAATAATAAGCCAGCATGTATATCAAGATGCTCAGTAAATCTTCCAATCACTCAATGAAGGTACAAAGTCCATAAAACAATCGATCAGCAAAAGTCAATAGCTCTAGGCTCATCCTTTTCAGAACATTTCAATAAACAGGGACAACAGAGAGAGGTAGGATAGAGTGCCAAAAGTTATAAAAATATGCAATAAACATAGAAGTGATCAATCAAACACTTCCACTCCCAACTCCTCACATAAAATAATCCTTTGAGATAAGCTTGCAATAAAATAAAGGAAACACAGAGATAACATGTTAAACTAGACAGATCTCGAAACTACACCTAAATCACAGGCCAACTCGCTAGTATGTTGTTTCAACCGCTTTTCCAGTAAATTACAACTTTGGATTACCTCAGAGAAGGCACACACAAAAAAAATAAAAAAGAACGGAGAACGATAAAGAAAAATCGCACCTTTTTCCTGTCTGAACGTCGTAATTAACAAGGAAACAAAGAAGGAACAATCAAATGCCAGACAAGGATCCCAAACAACAACTTCGTACCTGATTCACGAGAACGACACGGTGATCGTGAAGCTGCTGGATGATCATGTCGCAGACGGTGGTCTTCCCGGAAGCCGTACCCCCACAAACCCCTAAACAAAACCCCACCGACCACAAGAAAGGCTCGGAATCATAAAAGAAAAGAACCCCAACAGCCCAATCAACAATGAAGGCTTCTAATGATCTCAAACGAGGATGAAAGCCCGATTAGGGTTCTTCAAACTTACCGATGAGGAAGGGCTGCCTCGGGGCGGCGGCGGAGGAAGCAGATTCGGGGGAAAGGACCTGGGAAGCCCTGGCGGAGGAAGGGGAGGAAGGGGTGGAGGGGGAGGAGAGGCGGAGTGAGTCGAGGCGGAGCCCGCTGAAGTGAGCGCCGGCAGCCGCCTCCATCACCTCGTCCATCGACTTCTCCGGCATCGCCCTCTTCTCCTTTTTATGGTGTTATTGGAGAATATATTCCTCGAGCGTAATTTAATTTTATGGGATCAGAGAATGCTGCAGAGCCCTATTTATAGGTTTGGCGAAGAAGCCGAAGCGTGATTGGCGGAAACAGTGGCCAATTGCTCAATGTCTCAATTTATAGTTGGAGATGACCAAATTAACAAGAATATATATATATATATATATACTTATTTTATTTAAATTTATTTATTTAAAAAAAATATATTTAAATTTATTTCTTTAAAAAAATAAAATAATAAAAGTAAGATTTCATCATGAAGTGAATATGATACACCATCATCAAAATAATATCATGGATATAAAATATATCGAATTAGTCTCCGTTAGTTAGTTGATTGGATTTTAAATTTTGATACTTTAGAAAATCTAAATAACAAATAAATATATAATTAATTGTTAGAATAATAAGAAGCCGTAAATCTTAATTATTTGGAGTTAGTTAATTTATAAAAAATTATATGCTTGATTAAGTTTAACTTATATTTAAGAAATATTAAGAACAAAAATTAATATCATATCATAGAAAAAAAAATTGATATTGAACATTAAACAAAAGGTGCTTAAACCAGGGTTAGATTAATGAGCATAATTAAATCCATACAAAAATGGGCATCGCTAAATCTAAAAATCACTTCAAAAATTGAGGGTGATTAGTGCAACCACATAATTTCTTTTTAGGAAGTAAAAAAAAAAACAGGAGCTCCATTCAATTAAGGTTGAGTTCTAACTTCCAAAAGATTATTCGATTTTATCCCTCTTTTTCGATTCATAATTGGTACTAAGTCATGAATTTGGAAAACAAGACCTTTTGATTAAGTTAATCAACATAATATTTTTCGAGAGATTGAGAAAGGGCAAAAAAATACATGTAATAATCATATTGATGACAGAGGTACTCATATAAGTCCATCAGGAATGACAAACTGTTAATAATTGGCAACACATCTATGATTATGATTAGATTGGTAGGGATAGTAGCTTTGATGTCTCATACAACTAAATACAACTAGCATTACAAAAACCAGTCTTTCATATACATTATAATATACTAACTTGATCGTCGAAAAAGATTTTGTGGAACATACTCTAGAACCACAACAACCCTTATTTCAGCCACATCGAATATTGATCACATCATCATGACATGATACAAAATTAAGAATTCCCGGTATCAGAAAATAGCATAAAAAGAAGATTTCTCTGTCACTGTAGATGTTTCAGACATGGTTTTTGTGGAGATCAGAGATCTGTAAAAGAAGGTACATGCATACATACAAACCTCAGAAGAAATTTTCATTTACCTCTCATGGAGGATTATATTTTGACAAAGCTTACACAACTACTCAATGTTTGCATGTTTAGAGCACATACATCACACAGAAACCACCACCATAGTTTCTCGTAGAGCTTCTGTCTTAATGGCTCTTTGTAGATATAAGTTTGGGTTGCTCAAGTTGCAGCTACAGGTTATCGACAAAATTTTTCATGCAGTGCAATGCTTGGTGGTCATCTTCTGCCTTCTATCATCCAATCCAAAACTCTGCAAGCTTGGCAAGCAACAGTGTTGTGACTTGCATAATCTTTCCTTCCTGTTCTTAGGATCTCCACTTGATGTCACCGTGCTGCTGCAAAAAGAAATGGCCCTGAAGCGATATGGTGTTCCATTTAGTTGTCTTGGAGGCGGATCGGTGTTGGTTGTGTGCAGGTTGATCCTTTTGTTAGTCTCTACTTCAGCAGCATTTGGCTCACTTCCTTCCCGTTCTACTAGCAAGGTTTCCTGGAAGAGTTCTCGTAGTTTCTTTCTCCCAGTTGGAGAAGGTTCAGAGCTGGTTTCTGGACTCTTGTCGATGTATATGGAATTTACCGGTCGAGGGGTCAATGGTGCACTTGATTGATGAATTGGAGTACTACCTTGAGAAGGAGTAAATTCTACATTGAAGACAATGAAAATGTAAAAAACTAAGAGCAGTGACAAGGAAAACAAAAAGAAAATCATACATAATTTATCTAGAAAGGAAATAAAAGAAGCTAAAGTCTCTCAAGGTAATGAATGAATACAGAGATCATACCTCCTTTGACACTGAAGAAGTCGTCTTCGCAGTCTGAATCTAGCCATGCACATGAGTCAAAGTAGATATCCTCTTTGTTAACTGCTGTCATAAAGTTCATCCGTTGAATCAAAATAAAATGATAATAATAATTTGAGGACCTGATGTTACGAAAACACACACATATATATACATATATTTTATCAACAAAATAGAGTTAACACATATAATGAGGTGAAGGCGTTTGGTAAAGTTAAGAAAAGGGGTGGTGAAGGCAGGAGACTTAAGGAGAGGTGCATCATAGATTTAATCTTATGAGTTTATTGGAAAAGATACAAAGTTAAGATAAACTCTGAATATAATTTAAAATTAGCAAAGGCATATGTCGAAAATTAGTTACATCTGTAAGAAGTTTCATATCTAATGTGGAGTTTTTGCATAAGCTATGTGGAGTCCTTGTCCCCTTTTGCCTCAATGTGGTTCCACCACTTGTTAGAACAGATTAAATTCCCAGCAGCAAGAAGTGGAAGGCCAGAACACATGAAGAAGAAAACAAAGAGAAAGGAAATGACTATAACCAATGTGATAACCATTACAGAACTTAAAGACCTACTCAATGTCTATGCAAATTAATTAGATCTGAGACAAAGAAATCAAGGGCTTGGTCAAGAACAAGAAAACGGAGGAGAGGACAAGAAAAAGGAATGACAAGAAAACAGAAGAGAAGGCAAGAACAAGGAACGACGAGATCTTCAAAATGGACAGTAGTTGTCAAAGTCGCAGAGCACAGGAACATTCTCAACCTAATTTATGCTAAAAGAGACATCAGAAGCAACATTAAAAGAAAAAAAATCTTAACATTCATACTTCATGGGAGCAGCACAAACTTCTAAGTGAATCATAAGTGACTTATCTTGATGGTAGTAGAATGGAAGAGGTAATATAATTCATGGTCTCTATGACTATCCTACAATCACTTTTCTGCCTATGTCTCTTCAATCAAGCTTCAAACATTTCAAAAATTGAATAAAATGTCAGAGAAAAAGGATTTTTGCTGATTAATATTTTATTGTATTTTTATAAGCTCAGTCGTTTCTTCTCAATGAGAAACAAGTGCAGGCAGTTGAAGTGGGTGAGCCTATAAGTACCAACAAGTCTCTAAATTTAAAGTTCCTGGATTAATAAAATGGTGGTTCACAAGGCCTTGGTATTCCTCACCAACTTTCAAGGTGCACTTGGTAGATAGTGCAATTACCAGCCTAAATATCAATTTCAGGCCCTTCTTCAGTACATTTGAACCTTAATTGTTACATATGTTGCAATACCATTTTTGCCCGATGTATCCATTTAGATTGGGTGCAGAATTCACCTATGCTGGCTAAATTAACCTAGCCTAGGGAGTTGGATGAGCTAAGAGAGTTGCAGACCAAACCAAGAGATAGCTTACCAAAATCATTCAACATGAAATTTGACAACTGTACTCTACTTCCTTTGAACAATAAACCAGATCAGTCACTTCAGGAAATTTGTTCAAGTTTTGAATGTATTCACTTCAAGGCTTGAACTCATATGGGACTCCATTTCAACTGTCCAAATGCTCGAACTGATCAAACTCAAGCCATTTACCATGTGCCTGACCTACTAAATCAGAGCTAAGGTTTCCACGTGTCAAGCCACTACCATGTTTCTATCGAAACTTGTTGGACTGTATTAAGTAATACTTCCCCTATATTTCCAAGACGATACTCTTTTTTTGTACCAAATTTAGTGCATGTGCAATAAAATTCCACAGAAATCCTTACTAAAAACACCGACTGCAACATTTTTGCCACAGTATGATGTTCACTTTTATTACTGAAATAAATTTCAATAAGACTCAATATCAACCCTATAACAGGGGTTGAGAGGTCGAAAGGAAAATTCTTGACATCTGAGCAACTCTTTCAAAGTATATAATCATAACAAAAACCATAAAGCAGAAAGAAAAGGTTCTTCTTAGTGGAAATCAGCATCTTAGATTTCCTGCCATAATATGATCAAATTTCAATAAGACTCAATATCAACTCTAATAACAGGGGTTGAGAGGTGGAAAGGAAAATTCTTGACATCTGAGCAACTTTTCAAAGTACATAATCATAACAAAAAGCCATAAAGCAGAAAGAAAAGGTCGAGGGAGATCAGCATCTTAGATTTCCTGCCATAACATGATCAAATTTCAATAAGACTCGATATCAACTCTATAACAGGGGTTGAGAGGTGGAAAGGAGAATTCTTGACATCTGAGCAAA